CCGAACGGAGAAAAGTGATTCTTCAAAAGTAGCTGCAAGCTGTGAAAGACCCCCACAAGGGTATAGAGCCTGCCTGCATTTCAGAACCAGTTGATTAAGGCTCAAAAGCTTCTTTTGGTTGTTGTTAAGATGAATTTGACAGAAGAAAGMGTAAAAGAAAATTCTAAATATTTGTAACAGTGTTAAGAAGAAAGGTGATGATTTGAGATGATATGGCATGGTTTGTAAATACTGGTGTGACAATAAAATATATTTTTGACTGATTTGTGAGATATGTCCACCTGGAGGTTTGACATTTTCACGATTTGAATGCTGCTTTGATGTCCCACCTCATTAATGAAATATTCTTGTCATAATTGCTCACCTGTGAGCGCCCACCACCTGTTTACCAGGAAGCTGACTAAGTAGGATGAAGGAGGAGACCTGATGCCTCCTGTGCAGTTTTGTGGAGCAGCTGGGAAAGATGGGGTGTTATAAACCTGTCTACTAAAACAGTCCAGGTGATGTGCATGGAAAGAGACTGTGGCTGATGTTGTCAAGTAGAAATGCATTAAATGGAAGTGCTACAACTAGCTGCTGTTGCTATTTGCACTTGCAAACTGATGTCTCTTTTAGAACACTGCAAAGGACTGGACTGAGAAGTACTTGGTTTTACAAGCAGAACAGATGTGCAGTTCCACGTGGTGGATCRATGTGGGTAAGGAGTGGGGTGCTCTGTGGAGCGAGAGCTCGGCAAGGGACTGAGCTCCAGAAAGGAGCTTTGTAGGCAGTGCTTTGTACCAGCAAGTTTTTAAGCAGCACCACAGCCACYTACCACAGGAGCTTCAAGGATTTCTCAAACATGCATGAATGAGTCAAAACAACACTCTGGAATGTTTTTGATGAGGTAATGACATTATAACATGATATAAAGCATAATACCACCTCTTTAACTGTTTTTTGTTTTGCAGATGAGCTGGAGAGAGCGTTTGGTTGGCACGCTGGACGAGGCTGCCCTCCAAAACAAGAGCCTGCTTTCTACATTTATCTCTATAATCTGATTTTCCTCAATTACTCTGGCTGCAAGTGGTAGCCCTGATGCTTTGGTATTTAGGATAAACTCATAAAACATGACCTTAAGTGACGCAAAAGAGGTCACACTGTTGTCCCTGCAGTGTTGAGCAAATTAAATTTAAGGGAAGCACTTGGCTTCCTTCATATCATCTCTTGATTTATCCCCCACTCTTTAGAAGTGACATCCCTGTGTGTGAACATGGAAAGGTCCTTTTTAAAATGCTTTTGTAAATCTAACTAAATTAGGAGCAACACCTTGGTTTGGATGAGAAAGACTTGAAACATTGTAGGAATTTTGAGTACAGCTGTTTTTGACTTTTGTGAGTACTTGGTTGTGAACTACAGCAGTGAACAAAATAAAATAAACATAAACGTTCTATCGTGTCTTCTCAGAATATCATGTGCTCAAATATTATTTTCAAAATATAACAACTATGAACTCTATCATTTCTCAACACAATATGTTAAAGGATGGTATTATGCAAAATCAATTTTTTATCTTTATTTCATGTTATAATGTTATTCCTGCATCAAAAACATACTCAGGGTGTTGCGTTGACTCATTCATGCATGTCGGAGAAATCCTTGAATCTCCTGTTACCATGTGGAGCTGCCTAAACACTTGGGAGTACAAAGCACCGCCTATTTGTACAAAACTCCTCCCTGGAGCTCACACTGCAGCCAAACTTCAGCCCCACAGAGCCCCCATCCCTTGAATAATTGTTTGAAAACATGCAGAAGTGGTAGTGTCCAAATGGTATGAGGTTCTTAAAGAGACAGAGACCAATTTCAATGCATTTAGATGATGATGCAAAGTCACATTTATTTTTGATATCTAAACAGCATTTTCATAACAACCGAATGTAACATAATTACTTGATTTTGGTATTGCTGGGTTGCTGGTGACGTAGTATCGATGTCATGAAATGCAGATGGGTGACAGAAAGTAAACAGAGTGCCGTTGATTCAGCATCAAAATGCCCAAATTCTGTGCCATGTATGATTGTTGCAACTGCTCTAAGTCTAATCAGAAGAAAGATAAGTTTTTTTTTCTTTTTTTGAGTTTGGAAAGTAGCGTGTCACAAGGTAGTTGTTTTTAAAAACTTACAGAAAAAAGATGACAAAAGTGGATCAACAATCTATGGCTAAAAACAGGAGGTGCGGAAAGGGATAATGCAAGAGTTTACAGRGACCACTTTCTAACAGGTAAGGATTGTATTGTATATTTTCATATATTTTCCTGGGTAGATTTTTAAGTAATACAGACAGCTCTGTTAATGCACAGCAGGCAGTGTTGGTGTTGGGATGGTGCTWTAAATTGTGATTTATTGAGGGATGTCAGTATCAGTTGAATATTTGCACACTCAGCAGACTGAACAGTGTGATTTGTTTGTTATCCATTTTTGTGTCCATGAGATAAATCTAYATTCAATATTCTGCATCCTGTACGCCTGGATTTAGGAAAAAAATTATCTTTTATGTTTGAAAACTAGTTTTGCATCTGCTGAATGTTTGATACTGATCACTCGTGTACACTGTGGCTGAACAAGTAAAACAAAATCCAAACATTAAGGTCTCCTAATGCCTGCATGCTAATTAGATGGTACGTCTCCTTACAGTTCAAAGGTTTTATTACTTAGGACATATTCAAAAATACTCCTGATCAGGTCTTTCAATTTAATGAAGATATAACATAATTTTATTGTGATTTTAAAGACAGGTGATGTTAATCAAATACATTTGGTAACTGATKATTTACAAGTGTGAGAAAAGAGTGGAAGAATCAGAAGAGGCGCTAATGGTGAAAGAAAAGTCACTTCATGTTATGGTCTGTGTCTGTGTTAATGTGTTATCAGTGTGCATTGCCAATGCAATGCACACTATTGTGATTCGTTTCCATCCAAGTCATCTCAACTTTGGTACG